TCTTCCATTGAAAATTCGAAGCAGAGTTTTCAAAAGTGTTGTTACGTGCTCAGAGGTCCTTGAGAATTACCGCACTTGTACTCGTAATTTTTTCTCAAGTCAAGAGGTTCTTTCTATAAAATTCATCATATCCATGATGTGCTTGAGCGCTTGAGGATCGTGCCGTTTAATTTACTGTGGTATTCAATGAAACCAATTCACCTATTCTACAGATGTTTACTTTTTTTGAATGAATTTAGTAGTGAAGAGGTGCAACGAATCTATTTCTGGTTTCCCACTAAGAACAGAATCATGTCGATGGTGTTCATATTAGAACGAATTATCAAATCTCTTTGTCTATCTTTACTGTCATGCTGAAGACTCAATCTGAAATATTTGATGAAATTGTTTTTGCATTTCACTGTTTTCATTTCTTCCCAATTCAGCTATTAAAGGATGTTAAGGAATTTTTCGGAATACCTTTCATGGGTGGTTAAGATGTGTAGGGTTGAGAATCTATAGGAGAATATCTGATGAGTTGTTTGTGACCAAAAAATTGCCATTTTTTCTTGCTTCTTTTTTTTGCTTCCGAATGGAAGCTTCGTAATCGTTGATTTTAACGATCGTCTAATTTTGCCTGGAAATGATGTAGACGGGCATAAAACAAATATTTGATGTTTCTAAAAAAATTGTGTTTATAGGATCATATGTATGAACGGATTTTTCAGACATTTTCTATGAATTTTCACAGAAAAAGGTGTAAAGTTAATGTTAAAAATTTGAAAATTCGTCCCGTAATTAGTATTTTTTGATAGAATTTCTGGTGAAAATTTTTGGTCAATCGGTCAAGTGGTTTTCGACAGACAGAAATTTTTCAAAAATCATTGTTTCTGACTATTCATGAACTATGTGACAATTTAACAACAATTACCGACAATTTAAGTGACGCAATAATTTTCCGAAGGCGATATTGAGAAATGGTTTTTTTTCGGAATTGGTTTATAGAGAATTTTCGTCCCCTTTTTCCCAGAGAATGCAATGCCAAGCGGGAGGGGGAGACAAACGTTTGGGTCTGCATATATAAAGTTGAATCTGAATGTGAACTTATGTACAAACCAGACTATATAGTCTAGTAGCTTTAAATTTACATTTATGCTTACAGCCAAATTGAGTTCAAAATATGTACTTATGACTACTATACTCTAAGTTAAGGAGCGCGTAGCGCTCCTCATACTCTACTCATAAAATAGCTATTTTCGTCACAAGGCTAACAAAAACTTTTCCGTACTGACCTTCACTTTTCCTCGTCCGGAGATTGGTATTGGTCCCTTCCCAAACTCGTAAAAGTGAAAATCACTACGGGAAAATATCCTTCACAACTAGTGCCATAGGGATTTTTTACTCGCGTGACTGGCCAGTCGTCGCCTTCGGCTCGGACGCCAATTCCACGCGAGTAAAAAATACGCCAATTCCCGTACAAAAAATACGGGAATGAAGTGAGGAATCTGTATCGGAATTTCGGAACCAAGGGGAAGCATCACTCTACCGGATATGGACCGTTCGTTTACACTAAATTCAGTTTGTAGTACATAAAATGACGTTGTGCGAGAATAGAAGACGAATGAGTGAAGCAATGAGAGAGTGAGGGAGTAAGAGAGAAGGGATATGTCTGAGACAAATGGTCTCGCATACTTAGTGAGCACTTGACTGTGACAAACTGCTGTGTACGCACGACGTACCCTTTCCAAGACCCGGCGTTTGCATTCCTAGAAATCCATAGAGGCGAGCTTTCTACCCCCTTTTATGGAATACCCTTTGGGGTCTTCTCAAGCGTGTGCCTTTACTTCTGACACTTGAGTTCACATTGGCTGCGGGGGGACTTGATGATTTGATATTATAAGAAAAACAAGGTTTACGAGTTAATTTGCTTTTTTTTCTTCGTCAAAGTGGATTGTCTATTGAAAAGCGGATAATGAATTCATACTAAGACACAAATACTTCACACTTTAATATTTGATTTTGAAATACATCAATTTTTACTATGTTCAACAGTAAAAAGTGTTTTGAGTGTGGCGAGTATGATCCTCGATTACTATGTTAACATAGTAAAAAATAATGTTATATTTTTTCCGTGTATTCACATTTTTTTTCAACCTCATTCTATGTTCCAGCGTTGATGGAGAGCGCACTAAATTTTTGCTAGAATTTGATTGAAATCACAACGAAACCATCGTTCAATGTTTCAAAATCAATGCAATTATAGACATCAATGAAATTGTGGTTATGTTATGATTGAAATTGAAATTTTATTATCAGCATTGGCCCCACAAATATCTCCAACAAAAACCCGCTGCTCCTGCTGTTTGAACAGCATTCAACCTTTATCACAATTTTCATTCAATGAATCATGGAAATTTCGCCTCTCTAGTATTCTAGATAACCTCCTTTTTTCGATGTACTCTCCATCTTTTTATTTCGATAATAAAAGAGGTATCGAGACTCCCCGCGGGCCATCACAAGTACGTACACACATGTGCAGCATAAAGAGCAATGGGGGAGTACTCGAATCTCCGTGAGATAACTGGGACAGCGTGTTTATACGTTGTAAATTTTCAACCGAGTTTTCAAGATTAGAGAGACATATAATTTATGTTTGTGTCTCACTCTCGTGCCACTTTTTCGTCGCATTTTTTGACCCTACCTTTTTTTTTGTTTGCTTTTTTTTGCCAATACGGGAACTAACTTAATGTATATAAATATAAGGAAAGTAGGGGGAAGTTACAAAGCTCAGGCACGCTCACGGTGACACGCAAGGCTCCCATTAAAATTCGATCAGATAAAATGGGATATTTACTTGGTATTTTGACTAGTTCTTTCTGACTAAAAAAATGCGATTCAATTGAATGAGCATCGACGTTAACAAAATTGTTCATTTAACAATTCGAAAATTATTTTAGGTGGATAACTCAAATGATTGTATATGACACGATTTTCTACTTCACTAAAATCATTTTCATCCCCTTTTTTTGTAATATTGATTGGAAGGAGTTGATTAAAAATTCGACGTGACTCGTGCGTATGTGGCGGAGGGAGTGTAACGGAAGGGGAGTCCTATAGCCGATGGCGACGTGGCAAACTCATCATAGGTGGCAGCACCGAGGCGAAGACCTTAAATTTGCATGCATCGGATAAAAGAAGATCGTTGAATCAACGTTTTTGTTCCCGGTGACTATTGCCTTCAGATTACATGTTTTTATTTGTAAAATATATGATGATTGACCCGTCCAGGTGCAAACAAAACCATCAACACGAAATTTACGCTTCATCTGGAGAAAAGGTACCTCCGGTAGTTTTAATTGAACGTTATGCGCGGCTTTTCTCTCGGTATCACCTCAAGCGGGCACAAGTGGCACGCGACATTCTCATTGGTATCGAGTCCTGATTCAATCACTGAACACGAAAAATCGAAATTTTCAAATAACGTTTTCCAGTATAATATTGACGTTTTAAACTTCGTTTTTTTTCGTGAATTAATTAATTTTTTTTAATCAGTTACGCGTATTCCATTATTTTTGAAAAACTTTCCATGTCACACGAAATGGCCATTACATTTTTCCAAGCCGGCAGTTCTGCAGAATATTTTACTCGGTTCAAGTGTGTGGTGTATAAGCGACGTGGTCCCATGTGGTCCCCACGTTAAATCCAGGGACAGTGATAAAAACAAATGAAAAATCGGTTGTCTCCAATTGAAAATACTAAACGTTAGATCGGTTAATTAGTAACAGACGCAATATATAATTTTCATTTGAAACAATCGGAGATTGGAAAAAGTAGGAGAAATGTCAATGACAATGATGAGGGCGATGGGCACATGATCCGAATCTGATGTGATAACTTGATCAGCGTCTGATCAAGACCTGACTAAAATTTCCACTCGGGAACATTTACCGTAAAATTTACAATTCATACACAACAAAAAATCCACTAATTTTCCTATTAATGAATTCTGGATTGATGATCTACCGACTCAGTTCTGTTGAATCCTTGATGGGATCACTCCACTCGGCCCTCCCATCTATTTTATTGATTCTCCGGCATGAATCTCTTAACATATTATAAATTCCCAATATGACAACTAAATCGGTTAAATATTATTTCATCAGCGTTCACGAAATTCCCCCGGAAAATTCAGATCGATTAGTTTTCTAGGGAATTCTGAGGTCCCTTTGTTTTAAAAATAAAAATGAAATAGCCTTGTTTTATTAGGAAGTGTCGATATCTTGGTCAAAAGATCTAGAACAGGGTTAATAGTCACATGAAAGTGAAATCCAAATTTACTTTCTCGCATACTGGTGTTTCACGCATTTTTCATTATTTTTAGAAGCGTCAGAAAAAATCTTCGAATTTCAAGTGCGATAATCTCGACTTTGCAGCTGGAGAGGATACAAACACATTGAAAACTCATAATTTTTTTCTCGAATGCAAGATCTGGGAAAATTTTGGAAAAATTCTCAGTGATACAGCATACATTATTGTGAATGTCCAGATGAAACACCTTAAGTATATTAAGGATTTACAATGTCAAGAGTGACTGTTCAATTCATCAAAACACTAACAATAATGGAATTTTCAGCCATACTTTATGTATGGTGGCGTAGCGGTTTGTATTATGGAATGGTAGATTTTCTAAAGTGGCAATTTTGGGTGCCAGAGGTACGTCCACTCGTGCATCCCACCCCCTACCCCCTAAAATCCTTCCCACACCATGTCTCTCGACAACTTGGCTGCAGTATGCATTATTCATACGACGTGGCTCGACGTGCGCACCAATGCGTTCGTACTCTTCACTATCTCTGCATATATATGTCGAATGTATGTATACATTTTGCTGGAACACCCATTGTCCCAAGGGAAACTTTTATCCATTCGCATATTAAAAAAAAATGTTCATGGATGAAAAAACTAAAAAAGTGAAGAATTTATAAAATAAAATATGCATGCGTAGAAGAACGTGTACTCACCTGTTTGGCGGGCATTGAAGGCCCAGCTGCCGTCTACGATCATTAGTAGCAGCAGTGGGCTCAATAGGACCCCCGGGAAAACTGGCATCTTGAAGATGACGCGCCTGCGCGATTTCAGGTATCTTTAACCGATACCCCTCATCACCATACACTACCTGAAATCATAGAGAAACAAAAACAAATTAATTTTCATACCTGGAAATTAAGGATATCCAAGTAGTTTGGCAAATTTTTTCTAGCTGAAAGAATCAACGTTCACTCCGCGGAAAAATTCGATTTTGCCGAAAGTCAACTTTCCCCCCCGTAAAAAGCCTAAATATGACACTTTGGTTCCGGGTGAAAAAAAAAATTTTATTTCTCCATTTCTAGGGCATCTAAGGGCGTCCGGTGGCATTAGACGGACCAAAAAATACAGAATCAATGTTCACTCGGCGGAAAAATTCGATTTTGTCGAACGTAGACTTTCCCCCGGGAAAAATCCAAGGTCTGACACTTCGGCTCCGGGTGAAAAAAAAATTTTTTATTTCGACATTTCTGGCGCCTCCGAGAGTCTCATTGGCATTAGATGGGCCAATAAATACAGAATAAACATTCACTTGGCGAAAAAATTCGATTTCGGCGAAAGTCGACTTTCCCTCTAAGAAAATTCAAGATCTGACCCTTGACCCACGTGAAAATGAAAAATTTTTTTTGGACATTCGGAAAACCAAAAGTTGATACAATTTTCAACATGTTCCTCCCGCTATTTGTCCAATTCTAGACTTATCATTCCACCCAAGAATTCCCTTATTTTATAATTAACTCTATCCCACCAAACTAAATCCAACTTCGTTCCCCTTGCCCCTTAGTTTGTCTTTTTCCCCAGATGGAAATCTGAGTAACAAGATAATTCCGACAAAGCCGCTGAGACTAACTTCGTGACGACAATAACCTAAGAAAGTAAGGGAAAAAAGCACAGAGAAACTTATAAGAAAAACGCAAATAAAAGAACAAATAAAAAAATACTCATTTATGAAACGTCCAGTTCGTCACGTTGAACGAGGAATGAAATTTCTCGGTAACGCAACACCTTGAGAACTTCACGAATGTACCCACCGCTGTATTGTATCCACCGACCACGATCGTAAAACCCCCGAGAGACTACGAAACGAGAGAGAGAGAGAAGGAGAGAGGGAGTGAAGAGGCAACGGAGGAAGGGTGGGAAGACACTCGATCGCAGGACTCCATTTGCGGTTTAGCATAATGGGGAACCCAACGCCAGGAGCGAGCATAGCCCCAGGGCCACTCGACGCGCTTCCCGGCGCACAGTGAAGCTGGTGAATATGACGCCCGGGTTTGGAAACAAAGATAAAGGAAGAGGTACACGTACCACATACCGGATCCTTCGTGTCACTCTAACGCATTTCTCGGTGGATAAAAATAAAGGGGGTCAAGAATGAGTGAGTGGGGTAGTAAGTTCTTGTCACTGTTGCCTTTGAGATTGTCATGATAGTTATATTATTATTTTTTCCCAAGAGAAATTTATCGCGAAAGATCGGGAATTGTTTTGTTCATTCCGCCAACTATTGTGGGAGAATTCAGTCGCAAAATTTTTTACAATTTATTTTTTGGTGCTTCTCAACAGTTATATATAAGTGATCCCCACTAAACTGAAAATATTTCCTGTTATTACTCGAACAAAAATCCATATTTAGTTTTCAAATTTAACTATCCGCAGATATTTAATATTAGTTTATCACTCTATTTTCAACAAATAACATGTGGAAACTGACATAACAAGTTTTGTCAGTTTATAAGAAAGACGCAAATAAAAGAACAAATAAAAAAATACTCATTTATGAAACGTCCAGTTCATTCTAAATAGAACGAAGAGTTGATTTTTAATTTTATTCTAATAAGTGATTTGAAAAGAAAAAAATACCTTGCCGTGGTTCTTTATAACAACATTACAACCCACGTTTAAACACACTGGTGGCAACACATCGACTTTGGATGTGAGGCTCAGTTGGCCCGACTGCGCCAACATTGTAACTTAATTCTCCGACTTTATAATGTGAATCGCGAGAATGTGAATATCAAACCGTTGCTATGCGCGTAGCTTTTTCCTTGTTAATCCAAAACATACAATAGTTATACTGTTGAAAAGCTCATAGGCGATTTATATGGGGTATCTACGGATACTTTTCCGATTTATCGCTCCGTTTGTATTACGGCTTGATGTTTTGTATAGTCGGAGTCAAAATTTTTCTTGGCCGATACACTACCGCGTGCCTCGATTCCCCGGCACGCAGAGGTTTCGCGACTTAATTGGAGGCTCCCCGTGTGATTAAACGATTTACACTCGACATTCTTCGATCTAATTGAACGTGTTAAAAATGCTTTGAAAAAATTGAACGGATGGTTTTTGACTGGAAATTTTCAGAATGAAAAAGAAACGGCGGTCACTTTGTTCCTTCACTGTAACTTCATGGTGAAAATCGAACAATAAAACTTCAAACATTAATTTGCCCCTGTTCTCCCTTTTTTCCAAAATCAGATATTTTTTCTGAAAATTCAAAAAATTTCTGATCAAAATCATCTTTAAAGGATGCTCGCGCATGTGCCGCACAGCCGAACGAAATTCGACATTCGTAGGTTCTCGATATTTCATTGTCACTTTGTTCTGGTTCAATATACGCTCTTGCTAAGAGCGACGCAAGAACGATACTTTCTTTCCGCTATTTAGCTGAATTCTATGTCCCTAATTGAGAGTCATTAGAAATTTTTTTTTTAAATAAGCAAGTTGAACAGTATATATTCCGGTAATAATTTCATTATAAATGACTTTCATGGTTTCGCTTATCATCGGATTCAGATTCTGAGCAATGCAAATCCTAACTGATTCCTTACGAATTTATTCGAACAATTTGCCGCCCCACACCATTTCTCCTATCCACAGGCATCGATATGTGTTTACCTGATTCACCTCGTTCCATTCGACTAGTGCCCGTATTTCGAAGGCCAAAAGCTTACTCTAACCCCAACAGAATTGTTTACGTACGCTTGTGCCTCTCTACGTAAACAAGCAGTCAAATCCATACTAGCCTGAAACCAGGACAATGTTGCCGAGTGTGAAACAATAGTTCGCTCTGCAGAACCAATTACAAACATAATTTAAATGTATGGGAGAGCAATTTTGGGAACTCGAGATAACAGTGTGGAAAATGATTCAAAAAAAGAGTTGTTGCATTATCCTCACTGTGCTAGTAGAAGATACAGAAATGAAATGTACCCGATTGCATACTTTTCAATTTTATGGGTGATAAAACTGTTTCCTTTGCCCAGATGAATCGATTTATTAATGTCTATCTCTCTCACAACTTGCACACGGTTTCCAATTTTTTATTGTTATAATCGTTGAAATCAAAGAGATGGTATTTGATCAACCCTGAGTGTCAATGTGCCAATCAACTTATCTTTTCAATTTTCTGAGATACAAACCATTCACACTCAAAAACAAGCAGGGCTGCGAGCCTATTCGACAGAAGCGACAGACTGTTATTTAGCCCGGTGGCCTGGCGTAGTGGTTAAGGCCGTTGCCTCACAACGGATAGGTTCCAGGTTCGATTCCTGGCCGGGTAGAATGGTGAGATCTAACCATTTTTAAAGTCTTGATCAATCGCCATATAGTCTCATCAGACTCGAAGCGATATAAAATAAGCATAAAAAAAAAAAAAAAAAGACTGTTATTTTATTCGTTATTACTCTTGTTGATTCTTCCTCTCTATCAATTTGGTTGGTAATAAGCTTCCGAATGGATTTGTCGCAATGATTCTATGATAAATTCCCCTCAAAATCCTTCTCGGAAAATCTCCTATATTCCTTTCCACATCGATTTCCGTTATTTTTACAGTTCAGGAGCTTTAAGGTTCAGGTGTTCTGCGAGTGAATTTTCTTTTTCATAATTCCCAATTATGCTCTTGCTATCCACCATGCAAGTGGATAGGGATTGATAACATTGAAAACATTCGGGAAAAGTGAGACTATTGAAAAAATTTAAACAAACAAAGAAATAAAAATAGAATATCCATTAGTTTAACAGGTGTGATTATATATATATTATCTCTGCGTATGAAAAATAATGAATTATTCCACGGTGTAAAATGCCTTCATGGGAAAACTGAACATTACGATAGAAGGACACTGGAGAAGAATGATCTTGGAAATAACTCACCATTCAAACAAATGAAACTAACGATAAGAATAATAACGGAAATCGGTGTAGAAAAAAATATAATTTCGTCGCCTTCTCTTACCACAATGTTCATTGATTTCAAATGATTCCGGCATGATTTTAAGACTTGAGCATGATTTCAGAAATAATTTCAGTGATTTTGATGATGTCGCATAATTTGAACGTGATTTCGGATTGATTTCATCACAAAGTGCGCTATGATATCGGCAGTGACTAGCCCCTCGGGGACTGCCATTTTCCTCACATAAAGACGCAAAATAGGTGATGTTCGCTTATCCAAAAAGCCCCAGGAATTTCAACTGCGATTATACTATTACTAATAATAATATACATTATTTTTTCAAATTCATCGTTTTTTATCGAATTCAAAAGGCAGGTACTCGAATAATCGATAAACTATTCAACCGAACATATGCACAATCAAAAACCAATCTTTACGTCCAAAGGAGCCGAAATAATGATCACCTCGGCAGGTTATTCAACTCAAAGAAATAAAATTTCAATCTCATCCAAAAGTCTTTCACCATCGTTTCAATTATAGTAGTCAAAAGTAGACATAAATTAGAATTGAAAGCGATTTTAAAGAGAGGATTTCAGGATGCATCAGATAGATAGTACACAGAAGAGACTATTCGTTTACAGGGGTAGATTCTTGCGATAGTAATTTAGTCGTACGGAAGAGCGCGTGACATCAAAGGGATTGAAGAGTATAGCCAAAGCGAGGGACATAGATAGAGAGCGATGCTAAGGGTGGGGAAGGGGGTAGCTTGTACCTCGGGCTAACTCCTCCGCTCGTGAAAGCGATTCGAGGCAACGGGGGCGGCCAATTAAATTGCAAGAAACACTAACTCGAT